CTCCATTCTATCGTTTTTATCAATCTCACTATGGCAGATCGGAATTTTTGAAGCAAAACTGCATAACCTAAAATCAGATAAAATAAAAATTTTCTAATTTTTATCCGTGATTTTTGTTTTATTCTCAAAATCCTTTGAAACTGCCATTCATTAAAACATTTGCCCCGATCAGCAAACCGTTTCCTTCCCATTCCGCGTTAATTTATGGCATCAAGGGCGAAAGGCGAATTCGAACTTGTTCGCCCTGTCGGCAAAGGGGATCATATCAGTTTTTTTCATGCTTTTCCTGCGGGGGCTGGGGAACGGATCATTTAGCGGCAGGGGAACGCTGAATGTGGCTGCCAATACTGATGATGTACTGTGGGTAGATAGTGTTCAGTGGAATGGCACGTAGTCATTGAAGGGGGTGATCGTAAACCAACACTACGTCGATAATAACTGGCTAGAGATTAGTCATAGGAATACTGTAGGTTTACAGTCTTTATTTTTGGCTCACTGCCATGCAGGTAAGCTAAAAATTAGCAACAAATATTCGGAAACCGCTTAAATAGTGCATGTAGTTTTTTTCCTGCCGAATTTCGGTGTTTTGGGTCCGGGATGGGTCGCAAATACACTTTAAGATTATTAACTTTATTTTTGGCTTTCCTGGTCTGCAAAGAAGCTAAAATCATCAGAAACATTTTTAAAATAGGCTTTAGTAGGTTATGCAGTTTTTCGGCTTTCTGGCTCCCGGATAAGCCAAAAATCGAAAAATTACGATTTTCCGAAATTTTCCTGAGTTATACAGTTTTATCAATCGAATTCCACTAATTGTCGTATGCCGAACCTTTCCTCATTAAAATTTTTGTTCCAAGACTCCGGAATCGGTTATGCAGTTTTCGGGGGCAAATTAGAAAGTCGTTGATTTCGCCGGCTGGCAGGGCGATTGGGGCGATCAGCAGAAAAAGAGAAAAGAGAGTGAACGCCCGGATTCGGACAGGGGAACGGACAGCTAGCCCGGATATAGCCTGTGGATACAAAAAGCCTGCCATCCAGTGTGATTGGGGATGATGATCACTACAGAAAACTGATATCCGTTTGAACCAGCTTTTGGTGAAAGGTTTATCTGGAACTCTTTCTCACCCTCACTCTCACGCTCTCCCTCTCTCGCTCTCTCTCTCTCTCTCTCTCTCTCTCTCTCTCTCTCTCTCTCTCTCTCCCTCGCAAACCCAGTGACGCACGACAGCTAAAAGGCTCGAAAAGTTTCGAAAATGTACGCTACTATAAAACATATTATATTTACTATTTAGTGTGAGTGAATATGGCCCTCCAGCCCATGTTCCAATCTACATCAATCCCTATCCACAAGTCCCAGAAGATTCCTCCTCAAAAGAAGATCGAGGCCCCGCCCCTCCTGTTGATGGATATCAGAATTTGATTATGGGGGATGTAAGTTAATACTATTTTTGAAAAATTATTTGATTGTAGAGGGAACCAGCCCAGCAACAGAGAGATCAGCCTCCAGCTAGGGGACCTGCGCCGCCAAAGGTATCGTAATTTTGGAATTAAGGGATTTAAGGCGATTTTTTAAGTGGAATACAGTATTCTGGATGCCAGAAAAGCTATTTATGAATTTAGTAAGGTTCCGAATTTACATGACATTTTAAAAGTGGAATACGGCAATCCAGCTTCCCTGGAGAGAAAAATGTACTTTTTTGATGCGCAGAGTTGAGAATTTTTCTTAAGATAAAAAATGCTAGTATAAATTCCTGATTGGAAGAAAATCGATACCTCGTATACAAATGTAAACAACCTTCCAGAACGCCCACCCCCCGCAGTCTCGCCTCGACGAAATCGCTCGCCAGGTCCAAAAACTGCTCCAAGACGATCAGGGCAACGTCGACCTCAATAAGGTCCCCAAACCGGTCAACAAACCCGGTAGCAAGGTACTGACTAACTTGATTTGTCATTTTACTGCTTTTTCATCAAAATTCTGATTTTTCCAGGCACCCGGCTTCTCCCCGAAACGACGCAACACGATGAGGGAAGCTGAAAACATGTAGGTTCACTAAACAATAGCTCCCAAATTATGTAATTTTCAGCGTGAAACGCTCCGGCTACGAGGCAGTACCAAAGACACGCACCAATGATGGATTGACCATTCACTCGTCTGGATATAACTTTGATGGAGAGGATTTACCACCGGTAAGTGTGTAAAATGATTCGATTACGCCATATAGATTGGCAGACAACAGTTTTCAAGTTAGGCTCACAAGGATACTCCCCAGCTCGAAGTTCAACTTCGGTTAGCTATATAGCCTATCAGATAGAGTTTTTTGCGCTGATCACGATCCCGATATTTATTTTTGCCCAAATCCAGAGGAACGCTATGAAAAATCATTTTAAACATTATGCATTTTTGTCTGGCTGGACGTGATCTGCCACACGCGCTTCAAAGCCTCCTTCCAAGGGGGAGGCATCCATCGGTGGCGTGGTGTAGTCGGCAGCTACTTGGTATACCAATCTAGTGGTGAGGGGTTCGGCCCTTGCCGCTGACGACTTTTTTGCTTTTTGGATAAAAAGTGCTGGGAAGGCCGTACAAACGCCCAGTAAAAAATTTTTTATTTGTTTTGCATCGTTTGGTCGGTTTGATTACGATTTTCTGTTCGGTTTCATTTTTTTGGTCAAAGAAAGTTTGAATTATCAAAGGGGTTTCAGCAGCTTCTAGCGCTTGCTCAAAACTGTTTTGAGTTTCCGAAAAGGAACTATTAGGCTTTGTTTACCATAGATTTTGATGTCTAGCGTTTTTCTGCTCCGGGGGTGAGAACGAGAGTTTTTAATGGCACAATTACTCATAATCATTATCAGGATGGTGCTGTGTTGTTGCCAAAATGCTTTCTGTTGCCAAATTAATGACCAAGGGGCCAAAAACACTAGAAAAATTGTTACTGGACGTTCATATGGCCTTCCCAGCACTTTTTATCCAAAAAGCAAAAAAGTCGTCAGCGGCAGATGTCGAACCCCTGACCCCTAGATTGGTATACAAAGTGCTTGCCGACTACACCACGCTACCGACGGATCTCTTCCCCTGGGGAAGGGCTTTGTGGCAGGGCGGCAAACCATGGCAAAACTTTAAAGCTATTTTTAACAGTGTTCCTGTGGATTTGGGCAAAAATAAATAGCGGTATCGTTATCAGCGTAAAAAACTGCATCTGATAGACTATTTAGCTAATCAAAGCTGAACTTCGAGCTGGGGAGGTATCCTTGTCAGTTAGAAAATGTAGTTTGAAGGTCAGAATCTGCAAAAGCTATATATTTTTGATTCCGTATGGTTTGTAGACTCCAAAAACGGACAAAGCGACAAAAATTCCTTATTTAGACGCCATTTTGTGCAAGAATTCACGGTTTTAAAGATTGTGGTTTGTAGCCAGGAGAAAACTGATTTGGTATGGTTCCAAAAAAGGCTCTAAAAATTGATAAAAACTATAAAAAACGATTATTGATGTGAAATTTCAGATGGAAATCCGTATTTTTTTTGTTCCCTATAGTTTGTTGGCTATAATAATCACGTTTTTAGACTGAAACTGGCTCCCCTTCGTACCCGGCTGATGAGCCTGACCAGTCGAACTATGGAAACAATAATGATGGAGATGATGGAATTGATGAGGGAGAGAATACGAATGAAGGAGGATATCCAAGAATACAAAAGGGATATCGACAGAAGACTACAACCACTACTACCACCACGAGGAGACCAACGACAACCACAAGGAGGACAACCACCACACAGAGGACGACTACGAGGAGAGCGACTCCTGCGCCTACTACTACCAAGAGACCGGCACCACAGAGGTAGTATTTGGTTGACCAAAAACTGAATAACCTAAAAATGCGAGCTATACGTTTAAATTTTCAAGGATTGGAGCGAATGGGTGCCAGTTAAAAAGTAGCTCTCGTGAAAACTGCATAACTTGGATTAGCAACCTATAGGTTTAATTTTGATAGTTTTAGTGGGAATGGGTGCCAGTTGGAAAAGGTGAAAACTGCATAACTTTATAAAACTAATTCTAGAGCTCATTTTCGGAATTCTAGCGTAGGTTGACGCCAGTATAAAAATAGGCTTTGCAAAAACTGCATAACTTTAAGACATGTTTTCAAAATTTGATTTTAACATTTTCGGGGCACTGGAGGTCCGTTAGGGGATATCGATCGAAGAAAACGGCATAACCTATTTAGAGACATTAACAACATGAGTTTAATATTTTCGGTTCCCCAGCTGCCAGTACGAAAATTTCGATGATAAAAACTGCACAACCTAACCGATAATAGTACAAACTCGATTATCGTCTCAACCAAACAATTGGCCACCAGAAAAAGCCAAAACCTCGGAAAAACTTGGAAAACACGCCAATATTCTGAATTTCAGGGCGACGACTACACAGGGATACGATGCTCCTCCAGTTGCCCATCCACCAACCACCCAACCCCCAATTGATGAGGGATACGGTAATGCCGTGACAACAACTGCTGCCGGATATGAGGCAAATCCTCCTGCTGCTCGACCAAAGAATGATGATGGATATGGAGGAGAGACTGTCACTGATGGACCATCCGAGAGTTATGATGAAGTCACTGAGGCTGCTACTCCTGCTCCTTATGGAGGAAATAACATTCAACCAGGTATTTTAATGTTATCTATAGCATTAATGGGAGTCAGTTCATGAATTATGATGCTTTCAAACATCTAAGAACATTTAATGGCTGTCAGATAAGATTTTTAACGCTTCTATAACTATTCTGACAAGGAAAAAATGTAAAAATAACAAAAATAACATTTTTAATGCCCTTTTTCAGAGCCCCAGCCACCTTTTGACCAACAATACGAAGAAACACACAAAGTAGACCCGTATGCAGCATTGGCAGAACATTCGAGTGGTTCTCCACCTCCATTGGGAGCTCATGATCTGCTGTCATTGGATGCGAAGGCATATGTTGAAGAACATAAGAGAATGCAGAGGGCCATGGCCAAGAAGATCTATTCTGAGATGAGGAGACAACTCAAGAGAGAGGTATCTAGAAAAACTGCATAACTTTGAACTTGGATTTTTGAGGAATTTTCGTTCGGATTTTGATAGATTGCCATCCAGTTTGACCGTTGCAACCTAAAAGTCGGCTTGTCAAGAGCACAAACGACAAAAAGTCCATTGTCTCTAAAAACTACATAACCTGATATTTGTATTTTTAAACGATTTTTCTTCTAATTTTGTTAGTTTGCCATCCAATTTGCCCAAAACTAAAAAAATATTTGTTTTGAAATAGTACAAACTCCAAAAATCTGACCTCCCCATTGCAGCTTGGTTTCGGCGAGTCTCTATCGGCTTCTTCCGATGCGGAGCATGAAAATGAGGAAAAGGACGCAAGCGCGGAAAAGCTGAAGGGGGCCGAACTCCCAGCATTGGTCCGTTTTATAATCTGCCAGGCAACCATGCCAAAAACCCAAAAATTATGTGGAAAAATACCAATCTCGAAAATTTAGGCCGGCTACCAGGGGCCTGAGCCAAGCGGATATGACAGTGCTCCCCCGGCACCTGAACCAACTACCGTACACCCTGATAGCGGATATGGTGGAGAGGAGACTACGGTAGCTGAGACGACCATCGCCCCCGTCACCCTCCCAGCCCACATCCGGACCATTGTCGCCAATTTTGCCAAGCAGATGGAGAAACAGGTGAATCGATTACGGCATTAAATTGTAGCTGAGGAACTGTAGGGTATTAGAATAGTTAGAAAAGTATATTGGATGGTAGTTTACCAAAATCAAGGGTTTATTTAATGTTTGGATGTATATGAATCGATTTACAGGAAATTTTAGGCCAAGAAAACTCGAGCTGAGGCTTCCGGTCAGGCTACCACTCCCAAGGAGTTCAGCTTTGATGGATCGGCTGATCGCGTGCGTTCTATCTTAAATTGCTTTAATTTATATTTAATTTTTATAAAATTTCAACCAACTTTTCCATTAAAAAATTGAATTTTAATTTTTGCAAATCTTTGGTATATTTTAAGCTCAAAAATTCCTAAAAATTACAAAATCCGTTTTTTTCATCCCTTAAGCTATCTAATTTATTAACTGACTTACTATTAACAAAATCAAAGAAAAAAAATTAAATTTCAATGAAAAAAATGGACCTTTAGACAACCCCGGCAACCCCCTCTGATGGCTACGATACCGTAACCCAAGGATATGAAGAACCAGTAAGAGAAGCCAGTCCCCAACCCCCAGTAGATGAAGGATATGGAGGAGAAGAGACGACAGAAGCCCCTGAACCACAAACTACAACAGCAGCCCCTTATGAAGAAGTGACTGAAGTACAAACTACACCTATGCCCCATAACCCATATGATGCAAATGAATATGGAGGAGAGAAGAAGAAGACTGAAGAGAACGAAGAGAACACTACAGACTACAATCAAGCTGGACCCCCTGGACAACAACCACCAACTGAAGGAGAAGAGGAAGAAGGAGGAGAAGGAGCTGCAACGACCCCGAGCAGTTCGGTGGATGAGGGAGAGGGAGGGGAGAAGGACAAGCCTGAGGAGACAGAGGAGAAGGGAGACAATAATAATGGAGGAGATGGCACTCATGAACAGAAGATTACTTATAATGAGACCGAGGAGAAGCCGAGGAATGGAGGAGGAGCACAAGGAGCCTATGGAGGTGAGCAGCAACTTTTTTTGGAAAATTTCGATCAGAAACTTGTTGCTGTCTGACAGTTCAAAAGTTAATCGGCTCAGAAACCTAATCGGGTTAATTTCCTAGCGTAATCAATTCATTTTCTAGCAACTGGAGCTTTTTAGGCGTCTTGACCTGAATTTAAACGTTTTGAAAACGTTTCTAGGGTTAAAAAACCTACAGGTAAAACTATCAGATTTTCAACGGATCAAAACATTTTCTGCTCTCCAAAAACCTGATTTTTCAGGTTACTCGGCCTCCCACGGCGCTCCGGTAGCTCATGCTCCCCAGGGCACAGTCAGCCGTCAACTCGTTGTCCGCCAACGATCCCTCTCTGGTGGCCATCAGAAACAGAGGGTATTCATCGATTATGGAGACAATGGAAGGCCGCAGATTTATGCCAAACAGGATCAGTCACCCACCAGCATTCAGGGTATGTCATTTGGAGCGTGCGGTAGTCTATAGTTGTGTAATGGCTTTCAAACTACAATTTGCCGGTCAGAAAAACATCTGGAAATAGCAGTGATTTGACATTACCTATTTTCCCCCAAAATCCATGGTTTTGAAAAACTGCATAACCTGCATAACGCTCTAAGTCCATTCTATAGCTTTTAATTAGTGAACTATCATCCTTCCATGTCAGATAGTAAAATACAAATCAAAATTTTATTTTATAAAGCATCCCAAATACCGTAACCCTGTATTTTTCAGATAAAGCCTCCGGAGAGCAAGAAGAAGAGGAATACCCGAAGAGACGAGGCGCCCGTTTCGTCCCATTCCATCAGGTTCGACATCTCTTCATCTAAATAATCAAAAATTATAACTTATTATTTATTATTTATTATTTACTATTTATTGCTAACTTATTTGACTGCCCTCCCGCAAATTGCTCAATCGAATCCCCGGTGGATAAGCTCAATTTCTCCAGCCGTCCAGCCCCGTTTTACCACCTGCAATACTGTTGTTTTTTGTAAATAAATTATTTGATATATTTATTGGATTTTCTGACATGCAGAGAATTAAACCGAGGAGTGACAAATACCAAAAAATTAAAATTTCGGGAAAATTTCCAAAAAACACATGCAAAACCTACATAACTTATTTTGTTACGGTAGGAGTTTGTATATGTCATTTTAGCTTTATTGAATACCAGATAGCCTAATTGCCTCGAAAAAAACAGCTAGAATACCAAAAAGCAAATTTTGCGAAAATTAAAGCTACTGTAGGAAAACTGCATAACCTGCATCACCAACCTAACCCAGTACTATAAGACTTTGTATTGGTCATTTCTTTGCTTTATTGGATACCAGATAGAACAACTACGTCTCAAATAATCCAAAATTCCAAACGACGACCGCGTGCCCTTCATAAAAGTTGCAACTCATACCCGCGACCGGGGCAAATTCCATTCTTCTGCCAGACAGAGTGGTCAAGAGAAAGAACGGGGAAATGGAGAGATATAGAGGCAAGGAGCGACCGAGAGAAAGAAAGAGGCCAGGTAAATGTGTGATTTCTTATCATTTGACCCGCATCCCTTTCGAGACGAGTTGACAATGAGAGGCGACCGTCATAACCCCCGGTTTTGCTGCCGACCCCCTTCTTTTTTTGGGAGGTGTGTAGCCTGGAATTTGCCCCTTCCCCATTTCGTCACCTGGCCTTTCTGAGTTCTAAAAAGCTAAATGGCTGCCAGATCGCAATTTCTACTACAAATGGCTTCAAAAATAGCCACGGTATCTCGAGAAAAGCTTCCAAAGTCGGGGCATCCTGCGCTGAAATTGGCATTTGAGGATGGAGGTTAGTAAAATTTATTTAAAGTTAAAATTTCTAATTCAACTATCAGACCAAATGAACAGTCAGTTAGTCAGCATCTATAACTTGTAGCTTCAAAAATACATACTTATATATTTTTACGATTTCAAATTCATTTTTGCATTTCAGGATAGAGCTCAGCAAGAAAAATTTCTAAAATACTAATTTCTTCTACAATACTGAAATGATTGAATATCACTGATTTTAAGAGATACAATGACAGTCAGTTAAAATATATCAAATGCCGAAAAAGCAAAAATCGTGATTTTTACGTTCTTGCGACTTTAGAAAAACTGCGGGTGCCGCTTGTCTGGCTCCGAGATCATTGCCGGAGTACAGTCTCGTACAATCATCAAACCGAACAAAGAAAGGTTGATTGCTGCGGGCTGACAAGCAGAGCAGTCGTACAGTAGGTGAAAAAGAGTTTAAGCTATTTTTAGAGGCACCACTCCGTATAAAAAATAGGACGAATTTAGAGAGGACGAAAAATCAATTCGAATTAATGCCGATGGTATATTAGAGATCGATTGGCTAGATGGGCTTCAATCTAGTTTTACTGCCGAACAGGTAAGCCAAAAATGAAACCATAACCCCTAGAATACAGAATACAAACTACACACCATGAAATACATCTATTTTCAGCTAAAATCCTGGGGCCAGCTGTCGAGACCCGTCAAATCCAGGGATCTACACGAATTATGGACTGGTACCTCTTTAAAAGCCATGCCTCGTATCCCATTGTAAGTTTAATTTTAGCCTTTAAAATATAATGTTCAGGGATCAGCTGACCGTTCACGAATTCACACGACTGTTTATAAGATACGGATTTGTGCTTGTGGATGGGGTGGCTGGGACGGCTGAGGTAAGGAGAGGGTTTTGTAGTTTGTAGTTTGTGGCAGGATCATTTGTATTTTGTAGTTTGTTTATCAGTTTGACGTTTTGGCCAGCTATCGAGCTATCTGCTAGCCAAATTTTTTTATTTTTGCGGAAAGTAGAGAATTTGGCCAATCTTTGCAGATTGTAGTCTATGGTTTTGTAGTTTGACTGCTAGTTAGTTTGCTATTAATATTTTTGGTCTTTCTGTCTGCGAGTTAATCCAAATTCAAACCTAATCTATTTCAATTCCAGGCCACCGAAAAGCTCTGCCGGGAATTAGGCGTGATCCACGATACATTTTTCCGGTGCATTTGGGTGTTCAGCAATAAGAGCCACGAGAGGACCGATACGGTACTTCGCACTATAAAATCGATAAAATTAAAAAATATATAATTTAGGAAGAATTCCACGAGGATACGGCGTACAGTGCTGAGGGAATCGGTCCGCATACTGATGGCACCTATTTTCATCAATCTCCTGGGATCCAGGTTTGTAGTTTGTATTACTCTATATCTGTTTGTCTGCCGGCCACTCCGCCTTCTGTCGGTCGCTTTATAAAATTACAGCATTTTTAGGTATTCCACTGCCTCCAACCAGCCCCAATCGGAGGAGAAACGCTATTGGTTGATGCTTTTGCAGCAGCAGATCACCTCAAAGGTATTTTTGCCTTCAATGGTCCTTTAATATATGTGCTTTTCCAGCCAATGACCCAATTGCCTTCCATACTCTAACTACACAGTGTATTGATCATCAATACCTAGAGGTATCCGCGAGACGAGGTTATGCAGTTTTTGAGTTTTTCAGGGCATGGGCAGCAGTGGTAGTCGACAATTGATCACGAGAGATTTGCCAGTGATAGAGCTCGATACAGATGGAAACTATCGACAAATACGGTATGTTGGGAATTATATAGGGTCATTTATTAGATTTTCCGGAATTTCCTTTTCTAGTGTAATTTTTATCTGACTGTTAGTTTACCGTTTTATCACTATTTTTGGCAATCTGCCAGCCAGTTTAGTTGTTAATGTGTTTTTTAATAATTCTGACCGTCAGCTTGACCATTTTTTCATTCACATTGTATTTTCTATTTTTCTTTTTTAGGTTCAACCCCTATGATCGTGCGCCATTCAAATCCCTATCGGCCAGTGAAGAAGACGCAGAAAAAGTGGTGGAATTTTACAGGGTTAGTCGTTTCTATCTATTTCTTTTTCTATGTATATCTACAGGCGTAATCTACCGTATTCCAGGCGTACGAAGCATATTCCCTTCTCACCCTCTCTCCCTCTCGCTCTCTGCGTATCTCTCTCCAACCGGGTACCGTCATATTTATCGACAATTTCCGGTTGCTCCATGCTAGGACCGAATTTCAGGTATGAAATAATAAGTTTTGTACGCTTTTGCAACTAAAAAGTATGTTATATTGACACACGACACACGATATCCGTTAATCTGTGATTTTTTGACTTCCCAAAACAATGGAAAGCCCTTCAAAAATTGGTAATCCGCGGTCTCGAGCGAGGCCCAGCTGAGTTGTAATACAAACCGTCCAGAGTGAGGTGGCTTCTATGCGCAGATAGTGGGCCAGATGGGTGATGAGTCAAGGGACAGCGAGGATGACATTGAAACAGGCCTAAATTTCATCCATCTATTGGTGCGCGCTACCAATTACGCTATGATATTGTAAATCAAAATCTTGTTTTTCCATGAGAAACTGGTGCAAAGAAGCGTAAATTAGCAGGATCTTCCCAATTTTTAACCTTTCCTTTTCGAACTTTCGGCTTAGAAACTTCGGTTTTCTCGTAAATTTTAATATGATGATGGCTTCCTATTATATAGTGCTCCTTTCAGGGTGATCGTACGATGTGTGGTTGTTATATGTCTCGAGATGATATTCTGGCAAAAGGACGCCCATTTATTCTACCGGAAGATAGGCGAAGATTGTATTAACGCGCAGAATACGGGATTTAACGCCAATTTTTGCGTTTACCTTGTAAATAAATTGTTTTGCTTTTTCATACGCAACTCTGAATAATTACTCCCTGCCAAATCAGAATCACGCTCAACACCCTCAATCGATGCTTGAAACACCTGCCCAAGGCCTTTTACTCAAGGGCTCCTCAACAAAAGCCACGATGATTACTACCAGATTTTCTACGGTTATCTTTACGCATAAGCTCCAAAGCACCCAGAATCTTCTGCGTTGCCATGAATCGATAGGCCAATATCTTGCGCAAGATATTTTCGGTGCTTCGTTAAATTGCTGCTGGATCTCGCTGCTGCTACTTTCCTGGGAGCTATGATTTTTCTGAACCAAAACCTAGAAAATTGCATTGAGCAGGTAACCCCAGTATATCTGCCACCACTTCAAAAATTATTTTCTGGGAAATCAGGCTTTGACATTAACCCGATTTAGGGAGAATGGACGCCGGCCGTTCCTTCAGAATGAAGAAGGGACGCGATGAGGAACCTGACATTGAACATCTGTAAGTCGCTTTGAGTTTTGATAATATTGAAAGCTAACTAGACCCGACCCGGAGCCGATACTCGAAAATACCAACCCTATCCCTGACAGACGAATCGTCGCCAATCTAAAATCTAAAAATGCCAGTATTTTGTTGAAAAGCTTTCATTCTTTCTTCAGAAGCTTGGGCTTATCGCCATCGGGCAGTATGGATCGATGGCAAAAATGTGTTGCTTTTAAGTTTGCTTTGCAAAAATATATTTTATTTTCAAATTGCAAAAACACATTCGTTTTAGCGTTATCTACATAGTTGGCTCAGGGGGACATTCATTTTGGGCTCATTGGCAACTTAACAATGAAATTACCGCGCGCTCCTTTTGTTAAACTTTCTTACCTACAGGTTTACTGTTTCACTTAATGTTTTCGAAAGTTCCCTGCAAATGGAAGCATTTTAATTCCATTTCCAGGTTACTTCCGAGAGTTGTTTGCTATCCGGTGGACTTGGAGGGCGCGCAGGGGCGCGCACTACGGTAGTCCCCCGCCTCCCGGGCTCTCGTGGGATTTATGATGGGCCTGTTCTGGGTGCAACCCCCGGGTACCATAGCCCACGGTGCACGGAGTCGGCGTGTGAACAGGCATTACTTGCGCCTGTTCCACGCGCTCCACTTACCTTTCCCCCAGGGGTTAGGCTACGTGAGAGTCAGACTGGCGAACCCAACTGACTGTAAAGTGTTTTTACTCAACTTGGAGTTTCGATTCGGGACCAAGCGCATCTTGTGCAGAATTTTTCGCTGATTCCGAATATGTTTTCCAAATTTGCTACGGACTTTTATTTAAAAAATCATTTTTGGTAACAATTAGGCCGAAAAATGCCAAAAATTCAGACGCTGGCCCACTATTCCTTGTTTGGGGCTATGGTTCCCAGGGGCCCTGAAGTACCCTCTCACAGCAGCCTTCCCACTTGGCACCATGGTGCATTGGCAAAGTACTCGCTTGCCAAGCGCAGGGCGGCGGTTCGGATCCCCGCCCTGCACCTTACTTTTGCTTTTTGCATAAAAATCTCATTTTTTTATCTAAAACCAGGGTTGAAAAGCCGCTTCGCGACTTTTCAACCCTGGCCCCGTTTTGGACCAATGAACGTTTTTACTTTGCATAATTCCATAATTCCAACCCATGCTGAAAAAAAAGTGAAAAATGCGCTTTCTGCTCCTTTATATAGGCTACCCGTGCTTCCGGTGTATGCTAATTGATTCCTAACAAAGAGGGTCTCGGATTTTTCAACAAAAACTAAAATTTAATGTCGAAAATCGGCTATTTGGATAAATCTGATATGCGTGCAGTCATCTCCAGCCCATTACGCTCCTAATGACGTATCAAACATGCCCCTAACTACTCTCCTTCTTGGGATACTGCTGGAACACGGTGACGGAAGTTGGATGCAAAGTGGCACACACACACACAGACACTGGCTCCCCGAACTTTGCGGCGATCACTTTTGCGGCGCGAATTTTGCGGCGCGAACTTTGCGGCGCGAACTTTGCGGCGCGAACATTGCGGCCGAATTTTGCGGCGCGCACTTTTGCGGCGCGAATTTTGCGGCCGAATTTTGCGGCGCAACAAATATTAATGGAAATCATTTAAATTCAGAATTTGTTTTGAGTTCAGGATCAGATTTCAGAGAAATTTCAGAAATTCAGAATCAGAATCACCGCCAGTTTTGTTTTTGTAATGGTTATATATGTAATTCCATACAAATTAACTGCAACTTTACGCAATGCCGTGACAAGAGACCTCTTGAGGGCGTCAGGCAAGGTGGGCCGTCGCTTCGGATGGGCTGCCGCTCCACTCTTTCGAAATCGAGGCGCCTGGGCGCTTCGCGCTCCTCGGGCGCCCCGATTTCGAAACCCTGTACGAGCTCGCACCCATCCGAAGCGACTAGGCCCCGGGTGGCACGAAGCCTTTTTCTAGTCGCAGAGCGAAAGAAATAATTAATTTCCCCCAAATCGAGTGACTCCTGTCGCAAAACAGTCTTCTAACGTTTCTATGACGAAATTCGGATGCAGTGCAAAAAAAATAACCAAAGGCCTCTGCCTAAGCATCGCGCCGCAAAATTCGGCCGCAATGTTCGCGCCGCAAAATTCGCGCCGCAATCTTCGGCCGCAAGGTTCGCGCCGCAAAATTCGCGCCGCAAAGTTCGCAGCCGCAAAATTCGCGCCGCAAAGTTCGCGCCGCAAAAGTACGCGCCGCAAAGTTCGCGGCACCCAGACACTATTTTTTTATATATAGTAGGATGCTTGTTTTGAGCTGTAGGATGCTTGTCGAGCCAACGTCTAGTCAATTTTGACGTTGAAATTAATGAAGAAAATCGAAAACTATAACGATACCTCCATTTTGGTGAAAACTAGGGTCATAATTGCCGTATAACTTTCAGAATAACGGTCCGTAGCAAATTTGGAAAACATATTCGGAATCAGCGAAAAATTCTGTACAAGATGCACTTGGTCCCGAATCGAAACTCCAAGTTGAGTAAAAACACTTTACAGTGAGCCTTTATACCTATCTGACCCACCATTCCTTCTCCTTTCCAACCCATCCATATACTCGCTATCTTTTCATTGTCTAGTTAGGTGTCTAGTAATAAACCTTTTGTACTATATCAATCAGTGGTACGCACAAGGGATCTTATTCGTGATCTGCGGGACAAGCAATGCGCCTAGATATACAAGCAGATTTCCACTTTTCCGATGATCCACTCCAGGGACTAGCTGACGGAGGACATCAGAGTAAAGACAATGTGGCAATCCCTCCGCGTGGGTATTTCTAGGGATTTATTCTCTATAATTGTAGGGACTGTATTTTACTTTCGACAAGGGGGTCTAATTCCACGGAAACCCTATAAAAGCCGGAAAATAAAGTTTATTTTTGTTATAGCTCGAGAACTACTATAGCTACGGGGGCTATAAGTCAGGATGGTGTTATTTGGGGTCTGATACACCTCTGGTTCAATTTCACCGATTGTCTATAAATGCCGGCGATTCGTTTTTTTGGACACCCCGTATAATCTCAGCCCGCGAAAAGAAAGATCAGCCAAACCATAAAGCGCTGAATCGATAGCGGAATGCTTTTTGGCAAGTCTTTGGCCGCATCGTTATCTTTTTGGCTGCTAGCGGCTACCCCCAGTCAGTCATCCCCATTGACTCAATTGGGTTTTATTTCGTAGGTCACTCAACGTTCTAATTTTTTCAGGATGACGATGACATTGCTTGGTGAGGGTGGATTTGGTGAAGTATGGCATCTGCCCGATATAGATCCGTAAGTCTTGGACTGGGAATGATTTTATGCTTTAAAAAGGCCAATGGTTATGAAGAAACCAAAACGGACGGATAATTACGAGAACTGTTTGAGGGAATTACGCACTCTAAAGGTGGCTGAAATTCTATTGTGGCATGAAAGTGTAGGAACTTTCCCACGAGAATGTCGTCAGATATTATGACCAGCCAGAGAATTATCCTGGAATCGATAACAACGAATGGCTTATATTTATGGAATACTGTGAGCACGGATCCCTGAAAGATGGTAGCTTGTGTAATGCTTTAATGGTTGTCTTTAGTATTGCAAAATACAGCAATCACCTATTCGATGGCAACGATCGCCAAATGGTCAACAGAGATGTTTAGCGGTCTTGAATATATTAAAAGTATGCAAAAAATCCATCGCGATATCAAGCCTGCCAAGTCAGTTATATCTATGCAATTTATATATCTGCATAGTTTATTCATATATGGCGATGAATACACCCTGAAATTGGGTGATTTTGGAATAGCCAGGAGTCTGGGGACCATGACATGTTCGCGAGAAGGAACACATGGATATATAGCACCTGAAGTGCGGAGGGGCGAAAAGCTGAGCGGAGAAGTTCGAATAAAATACTTTGTGCGGCAATTCTCGACTATTTAGGACGCTTATAAAAGCGATATTTATGGAGCTGGGTGGGTTGTATTGGATATGGCGAATAGAAGGTATCGAACGATGCTATCTAGCTCTGGATTAATTGCAGCAAACCCGGGAACCAAAATATTGAGGAGATATTGCAGGATGAATTTCCGCAGCTGGCAACTATCAAAAGTCTTGTAAAAGGGTAACCCAACGAGCGTCTGCCTTTACCTTTGTTTAGATGTACTCAGCTAAACGTGAATGATCGGTTTTGTGTTCAACAGGCGTTGGCTCTATGCAAAGAAATGTTGAAGGTCGCACTGGGAAAATACTGTATTGTAGATATATTATTTTAGGGCTTCGACGAGTTCCATGCGAAACCAGACCAAAATCCGCGGCGTAAGAGATTAGAACGACCAGACGGAATGCCTGGCCAATGGGTGGAGATTCCTGATGGAATCACTATCACTTCCACAACGGATGATGACAGGTCGGAAGTGAAACAATCGAATCCAAAGAGTGATCCGCGAGAAAAGTTACTAATGGACTTTAAGGAGCAGTTTGAGGTCACCACAACTTTTGAGGGAGCCTATAATCCATATGACCTACGGGCTTGCAAGTGGAATGAGATCACCTGGCCTCAAGACGACGATTGTGGCCATGGAATCTGCAAGAAGACTAGAAGTCAACTGTGCGAGGAAATACACGTGAAATTGTCGAATCTGTCGATAGAGGATCAATATGAATGCGCGGAAAAGATGGACAAATTGTGGAAAATGAAAACGTCAATATCTTTCGACAATCCAAATGGTAAAATAAGAGAATATGGGAAATTCAAAAATATGCCTGATTATATGAACCTGGAAGAGACAATAGTAGATGTCCTTGAGTCCTTTTATTTTCTGGTTAGGAGGGACAAACTACAACAGGAAGCCTCTCAGGATTTCGGAATTACAATGCTCCATGAAACTGATATTGGAACACTTGCTCCATGGGATATCATCCAATTACTCAACGAAGCCATTCATGATATTGAAGAGCTGCGTAAATTGTTTACAACAAGAGCCGTCTATCGAAATGTGATCATTGAGCGATCCAGATATTTTTGGTTCTATATTTACAGGCTGGATCTATTCCTACGTAAAGATGGTACCGAGATTCGAAAAAGGAACACAATGGATTCAATATTGTTGCGTTACCATAGGACCGACAAGAAGGAACCATTGAATAATGAACATATTCGAAGGGCATTAATTGACGCTCGTACATATTACAAAAGGAAAGTAGGCGATCTGTTTGGTCCAGCTGAAAGGCGATGCCCTAATGGATTCGATATGCTGCGATCCGACCCGTTTCTTCACGATTTTCACTCAGCGTGTCTCGTGTTGTTAAAGGAACTGCCCTCATTGCCGGATCAACCATTTCCTGGGTATGCATTTGACGCGTTCCCTCCAGGGCATGAATGTTCTACGACTGAATGCGCTGTCGCTGGCGGTTTTCCAGCAACAGCAGACCCCGAGGTCCAAATCAACTATCATCAATGTGCAACAGAGGATCAAAAAGCGTATCTCGAGGCATACGTGCTGATGAAAGTTGCCCTGAATTATATTTCACGCTGGAAGAAGCGTGATCCTTGGTTCTACAAAATGACAGACAAATTGTTAACCACAATCAGCTCGAAGCATACGCCCTGGAAATTCTATTTACCTTGGATAAAGCTGAAAAACGGTACGGATGTGCTGATGATTTTGAGGGAGCTGGAAGTAGCCTTCCTTACGAAAAATATGGAGTTCGACTATTTGAACCTTCGCGAAGCAGTGCTGCAGCGCTTAGTCCCGGTTAAATTGACCGATATTCAACCAATACTCATTAGTATGCGGAATCATTGTCAAGATCCATACGCATCCAGCAAGAATACTGGTGAGCCCTCCTTCGTTTGCATACCTTCAGGCTTGTAGAAGATCCGTATCCCAGGCCCATACAACAAACTATCAAGAAGTTTTGGAAGGGCATAAAGTGGGCTTGACTCCATCGTGCCTCACCATAATGCTTTTAGGACGGCAACGCCGTTTGTAACTTTTCCAAAACCTGGCAATCAAATCACCTATGGTCCGGACAGCGACCGGTAAGAGTCTAGGAAACTCCCCCCAGCCGTAACTTTTCAGCCATACGTTCTATTAATGCGTGAAGTTCGCGTATGTTCGCCGTGGTCCAATTATTATCACCAAGTTGTTTCCTGACGCCAAAAATTGCTAGAAATTTTTTTACAAGATTTTGAAAGTTCAAACGATCAAGTCACCATGCCTCAATGCACCACGGGTTTCAAGCTCACATATTTTCTTTTTTTCGCTATTTTTTTCGATTTAAATGTGCTGTAGCCTTATTCTACAGAACAAGAGCTACATTTTGGTACCATTGACAGCTCTGTAGGACTAAAGATCGCCTCGATACAAAAACTCACTTTGGGCCAGCAAAAATTAACAAAAGAATAACCCCCAGACTTATAATTGTTATAAAAAATTTTCTAACAATTTTTGGTGTAAGGAAACAACTTCATTATAGTAATTGGACCACGGCGAACATTTTGAGATACTTCACGCTAGACCTCCCGATAACCCCCCTAAACCCCCCTAAACCCCCCTCCCAACCCCCCTCTGTGTTCGTCTGCGTCTCTCCTCTTTCCCCACTATTTCGCCCCTCTCGCGCGAGATAGTGGGGAAAGGGGGAGGGAGCAGAGGGGGGTTGGGAGGGGGGTTAAGGGGGGTTTAGGGGGCAGGCCTGGACAAAACGCGGGCCGGCCCGGGCCGGGCCGGCCCGGGCCGAGAAAAATAGGGATTTTCCGGGCCGGGCCGGGCCGGGCCGAGAATTCAAAAAAAGCCGGGCCGGCCCGGGCCGGCCCGACATTTTTGTCTAAGTAAAAAAATAGGTTTTTGGACGGAAATTGTGTGCTATTTTGCATATTTCTCGCTCGAAAATAGCCTATTGGGCATTGTTATATAACCTCAGTAAAAATTTGGACCTTTTTTTGGTTTAACCCCCTACCAGGAAATCGACCCGGGTTCGATCCCGCCCGGTGCCATGTTTTTGATTTTTGGATTTTTTAGTCATTCGGACCGGGTTTTTTCATAGAAGTATAATGGTACATCGTAGTAACGTATGAAACATTAAATTATACACTAAAATAGTTAATTAGACCCCCAAATGGTTGAATTTAACTTTATTATCCTAAACTCCATCGATATTTATCCGTTAAAAATCGTTGTTAATTTAAACCTTGAATTTTCTTTGCGGAAAAGCTGTAAAAAGGACACACTAACGCTGTATTAACAGCTAAGTACCTTCAAAAGGTGTTAAACCACTTTGGTGGCAGGTTTGACCAACCCCGGTTTTGACCTCTAAAAGTCGGGCCGGCCCGGGCCGAGAAAAATCGCGTCGGGCCGGGCCGGGCCGGGCCGAGAAAAATGGGGGTGTCGGGCCGGCCCGGGCCGGCCCGGGCCGGCCCGCGTCCAGGCCTGGGGGGGTTCGGGAGGTCTACTTCACGCCATAATAGAACGTATGGCTGAAAAGCTACGGCTGGGGTGGAGGTTTCCTAACTTGCGCCCAGCGACCTTCACAGGTTAGTCCAATGCGGTTGAGAAAAATAAGATCAACAGTTTAGCACGAAAGTTTACGGTATGTGCACCACGGGGTTTTTTTTCCGCGCACGGGGGTGCGGGGGGCGTGGCCAAGGCGGCGTCAGGCGGAGGGTCAGGGTTCGATCCCTCTCCTCGCGTAAGATCAAGACACGGTTTTGCTTTTTTTGCAAATACTCAGAAAAGCGCCGACAACAAATCTGTGGCGAATCTCAGGCAGAAAATTAGGAAACTGGGGCGACCCCTAACGAGAAGATCGTCTTGATAGTCGCTTCAAAGCGTTTCAAATCCTTGTTTTACCTCGCGATCGCTGAGATTCTTTTACCAAAATGTTCCCGAGGGTCTTCTCTACAAATTATCAGGCGGAGAATTTGTCATTTTTTCTAGAAAAAAAGTTATAGCCATTAGAAGGGATTTTCTAATACATTTTGGGGACGAAAAGGGGGCGTGGCCTCGCCCATTCCCTGTCTCCCTCTCGTGCGCGCCCCAAGTAAGGTTAAAAACCCCGTGCGCACGGGTCAAACCGGAACCGGGTCCCTCGTCTGGGGCAAGCGCTTTAGGCCGCTAGGCCAGGGGAGACGAGAGATGGAAGGGAGAAGCGATAAGAAGGCTGGCTGTGCGCGCGGCCACCGGATAGCGAGAATTTCTAACGGCGACTTTAGTTTTGACAAAAATAGTCCAGGAAACAAATAAGAAGAGCCGAAAATGTTAATTTTTATCCATGGAAAAACTTTTTTACTGCTTGTTACCGTTTGTTGTTTTAATTGCTGAAACATAAGAAAAATACATTTCTAAAGCGCGAAAATTTTGGATAGGTATGTATAGGCTAGATCGATAATTTCCATTAGCATTCTAGGTTTTTTAGTTTTACTTATGACACGCTCAAATCAATTATCTTCCGCTTCAGGGCGCCGATAAAATTGCTCGATCGTGGTAGGTTTCGTGAACTATGGATTCTACCCTACACTGATCCGTATGTCATTGAATTTATCGTATCACATATGGCTCTGATAGGCCACTGGTTATGAAGAAACCGCTACGAACGGATGATTATGCCAGCTATTTGATGCAGCTACGGACATTGAAGGTTCCGTCTTTCAACAATTAAGCAATTTTTTTAGGACTTGGCTCATGAGAATGTCGTCCGATATTATGACAGACCTGTGGATCCCCAGATCGATTCAGCTGAATGGCTTATATTTATGGAATACTGCGAGCATGGCTCACTACGGGATGGTCATCTTTACATCCATATTTTAGCAAGCGTTTCTTCAGTCCTGCAAAACCAAGAAATTGCCTATTCAATGGCTACAGTTGCCAAATGGTCGACAGAAATGTTTAGCGGGCTTAAACACATTCAAAGCAAGAAAATAATTCATCATGATATCAAGCCGGATAAGTGAGTTGCAACTGTTGATTTCCTATCATTGTATTTTTCAGCCTATTCGTCCATGGACATGGCTATATATTGAAATTGGGAAATTTTGAGAGCACATTCTCCGAGCTGAGTACTAGTTATAACTGGCGAGGCGGGACGATGGGATATCTGGCACCGGAAGAATTGGCCTGTATAACAATGGGTGGCGAGGTTAGAACAATGCATTTGCTCAACGTTTATAGGATGCATATAAATGTGATATTTATTCAGCTGGATGGGTTGTATTGGATATGGTCAATAGAAGGTATACATTGACGATATCTAAATTTCATAAAGAAATCGTAGCGAATCCGGGTGCAAAGACATTGACTTTATATTGAGAGATGACCTGCCACATTTGGAGACCATTAAAAAACTTGTAATAGGGTAAGCGAGCAATCGTCCGCAACTAAATATTTCTAGGTGCACAAATACTCAGGTACATAGCAGGTTTGATGTGGATAAAGCGCTGGAATTATGCAGTACAATCGCGAAGGTAGTCCTTAATCCTATACATTCATGTTTTTATTACAGGAATTTGATCAATGGTCTGCGACGCCAGATCGCAAAAACCATCGCCAAAGGCTCGAACCACCGATTGGATTGTATGAAGATGGGAATGATGATTTTTCACGGTCCGAGACGATGTCGCCCCTGGGGATATTAGGCTCAATAGGCGGGCCGATATCTTCGGATGGCAGTGCTTCCGAAGGGGAAGAACCAAATCCGCACAATGCTCCGAGAACAATTTAACTTGCAGGAAACAATAGCTTTTATTTATCATCTGTGTACTGAAGCGTCGATTAAACTTTTTAATGTTTTGACCGTTGAAATGGCCTGCACTATACAAAGGGCTCCCCGACATTCGCACCCCGACCATTTGCACCCCGACACTTGCACCCCGCCACTTACGCCCTTAATGCTAATTGATAAAAAGTCGTTGGCTTATATAAAGCGTGTTGAGAGGATATAAAGAGTGATCAGGCAAGATGTGCCGTCGCTTCGGATGGGCTGCCGCTCCACTCTGTCGACAACAGGACGCCTGGCCGCTACGCTCGCCTAGAACGCCCCAATTTGAAACCCTGTACGAGCTCGCACACATCTGAAGCGACTAGGGTACCGGCGTAATGAAGCCTTATTTTGACAAAAATTAGGGAGAGATAAAACGCGAACACTGGGGGCGCAATTGCCGTGCCACCGTACAGACCTCAAAAAAAACTGAAAATCTGTTATGAAAAGACCGTTCTCCCGCATTGCTGTTGAACATCGTGATGCTGCCGACAAAACGAAGCCTGCTCCAACACAAGAGGTAAAATACTTGTCGTGCCTGCGTAGAACCCCCCGCCCCCGCCCGAAAACAGCCTAGATCTGAAAGTTCATAGGAGGGAATCTTATTACTAAAAAAAATTTTGAGCCTGAAACTTCTATCAATCTTTAGTGCTATGAAAAACATTTTTCGTAAAAAATCTGCAGCGTCGCCAAAATTTTTTACATTTTGGGTGCCTCCTCCCCTCGAGAAATCTCTTCCATACCGGCTTGCCAGCGATATTTTTCAATGTGTCCGAATCAAACTAAAGTAAATATTTATGGTTTTTTTGTTAAAGAAGAAGTGTTTGTATTGTAATAGATGGGTACCGTCATTGTTGCTACATGCGAGGATCGAATTTTAGGCATAGTCTCGGTGTTTTTAGAGTATAAAGCAAAGCGTTTTGTAAGCTAAGCAGGCAAACAGTAATGTTATATTGACAAAAGAAAGCTCATTATGAACCCGTGTATTTTTGGCTTCCCAAAATCAATGGGAAGCCTTTCAAAAATTGGTAAACTGAGGTCTCGAGCGAGGCCCAGCTGAGTTGTAATACAAACCGTCCAGAGTGAGGTGGTTTCAATGCGCAGATAGTGGGCCAGATGGGTGATGAGTCAGGGGACAGAAAGGATGACATCGAAACAGGCCTAAATTTCATCCATCTATTGGTGCACGCTACCAATTACGCTATGATATTGTAAATCAAAATCTTGTTCTTCCATGAGAAACTGGTGCAAAGAAGAGTAAATTAGCAGGATCTGCCCAATTTTTAATCTTCCCTTTCCTTTTCGAAAATTCAGCTTAGAACCTCCGGTTTTCTCGTAAATTTTTAATATAATGCTGGCTTTCTATTATATAGTGCTCCTTTCAGGGTGATCGTACGATGTGTGGTTGTTATATGTCTCGAGATGATATTCTGGCAAAAGGACGCCCATTTATTCTACCGGAAGATAGGCGAAGATTGTATTAACGCGCAGAATACGGGTTTCAAAGCCAATTTTATTTCATTACGCTTTGTAAATAAATGATTTCATGTCTAATACACAAGTCTGGATAAACCGCAGGTTTATGCGAAATGTGAATGTTAATTGTGATTTCATACTAATAGGGTGATGTTCAATTCACGCTTTTTTCAGAAAACGTGGAGATCATAAAGGTGCCAAAAAATTTCGGAAACCTGGAAGCGCTTGTTTTCTCACCTTTTCCATAGCTTTCGAATAGTCTAAAATTCATCCCGGTGCGAACTTTCCTTGGACCACTAGAGGGGATCGATTGTTTTTTGGGACACGCTGTAAATCGAAAGTATGATAAGGGGCAATCATGCTGTAAAACCGGACAAGTTTGATACCTGATGGAATCGCGAATTAGTTCTAATTTATTTCATTCGTCTATTCTAGCGGTCGAGTAGGGGGGTCGTTTTTGGACACCCGGTATTTTTAGATCGTTTAGTATCCAAAGAGATGATTATTAACTCACCATCGATAATATGGTACATATAGGATAACGGGGGGAATAACGGGGGGTGGGCACTCAAACTTTTTATATGATAAAAGTATTTTTAAATATGCTTTTTTCGGGCTGTAAAAAAAACTCTTAGTATATTTTTCGGTCCTCTATCGAATGGCATATTGAAAATAACGAAAATATTCAAAACTCCGAAAATCCCCCCCTGTTATCCTATGTGCTGCCCATAGTTTTCAAAAATAGTTTTTAGGCTATAAAACTTTTATAATACATTTTTTCGCGTTGTAAAAAATCTCTTAGTATATTTTTTGATGTTCTATCGATAATATTTACGATAATTCAAAATATTAATTTACGATAATTCAAAATATCGAAAATCTCAAAAATTTGGCTTCCCCCCCCGTTATCCTATGTGCTGCAAATAGATTTTCCTCAATTTTCGTTTATTCAATAAAAAATTTCCATTACATTATTTTGGGCTCAAATTAAGTCTCTTGGTATATTTTTCGGCGCTCTATCGAATGCCACTCGCAAAATCCCTCAGTAATTGCAAATTTCATAATAATGAGTGCCCTCCCCAGTTATTTTATTCCTCCCTGTTATCCGATGTGTACCGATAATATTAAAGAGATGAGGACGGCATTTGTTGAACCCCCCTCGGGGGGGGTCAACAGATGCAGCGGCAAGAGAGGGCGCCCATGGAAGAGGCGCAGAGACGTTTTTCTTTCGCGCGCGTAATCGATTGACTTATGCCGCCCCTATCCCTTTAAGGAACATACAGTTTTGAAAATTTCGACATCTGGCCGGTTTTAGGAAATGTTCGACTTTAATTCGTCCCAATTTAGCCACTTCCTTTGCTTGAATCGGCGGGTCCGTACGTTCCCTAGTCCCATACAGCAAATCGTTTTTACGAAAATTACAGTGATGTGCTGCAAGGTGATGGAAGTTCACTATGACCTAAAGATGCCTAAAAATGCCCGCATTTGTTAGAAAGCTTTCGCTTTCTCCAAAATCGTGTGCTTATCTCCTTGAGGGAGTATAAATCGATGGCAAAAATGTCTTTTGCATGTCTTTTGCGTTATCTCTTTTCTCGGGAAGAGAGCCGTTCGTTTTGGGTACCTGATTTTAGTTTATTTTATTTTTAAGTCCTGGTTTCTGATTTGCTTAGCTCCTGATTTTATTGTATGTCTTCCAGTTGTGGACAAAAGTATTGGGATTTTTTTATTTATGACAAAATCTCGGGGGTTCGGGCTCGAGGTGGGCTCAAAGGTTCGTCCCTGGTAGAATTCGGGATACTGTTTCATATGCAATATTCTAAAACCGGCCACGCCATAGTACAATAAAATTAAGTAAAAACCCGGGTGAAAAACAGCTTCGCGGCTTTTCAACCCTGGCCCCGTTTAACGCACATGATGGTAAAAAACTGTGCAGACTTCTTCCCGAACCTAGATCGCAAAAATGAAAAGACTCCCTATGCCTCCTTATACAGGCTTCCGCTTTTATATAGCTTTCGTTTTCCTATATATAGCCTCTATATAGCCTTATACCTGTACTTATACTTCCGGCGCGTGCAAATTGCCTCTTAACAAAAATATTTTTCGATATCGTTACAAAAACTCAATTTTAATAGCCAAAACAGTAATTTTTCAAAACTATATGTGTGTGCACATCTCGGCACCATTACGCGCCTAATACCGGCCGATCATACCTGCCCTAAAAACCTTCCCCTGAGGCTTTCAGTTGTAGTTGACCCTTCTGCATCAATAAAGGAGCGCTGCGAGGTGGCCGGCTCGTTTTCTAGGCTTCAGAAAGGTAAATCCCAATACTTTTGTAGTCGCGCTTTTTGAACCTGTTACTTAATTTTATTGTACTATGGCGTGGCCGGTTTTAGAATATTGCATATGAAACAGCATCCCGAATTCTACAAGGGGCAAACCTTTCAGCCCACCTCGAGCCCAAACTTCCGGGATTTATCATAAATATTAGGTTGGACCGAAAGTTCGTGCAATATTTTTCAGTATTTTAAATTTTCGCTCCGGAAAACGGTAGATAAAAAAAATGTTTTAGTGATTGACGTATGCAGAATCAACTGCTCTATTGAGCCCGTGGGTCGGAATCACAATCAATTTCCCTCAGAATTTTTACAGTTCAATTTACTAGAAAATCGAAAAAGGCTGTGGCCCGCTGTTTCCAAAACAGTTCCAATTTAGCTTTTTGCATATTTCAGCATCTAAATAGTAGCTAAAAAGTATTATTTTGCTGGCGCTTCATTGCTATGGTAAAGTTATGGTGATCCTGAAAGATGTCCGGGTCAAAAATTTGAGACGCCTCCTAGAGAAACACAAAAATAATAAAAACTACTGCGGCTAAAATCTTGTAAATTGGATCACACATACTATTAAACTTCGCGAATATGAGGGAAAAGCAACAGTAATATCGGTCCACAAAAATTTTAGAAAGAAATTTCCGAAGTTCGATTGTACGAACTTATGGTCCAACCTAATAATAAATCCCAATACTTTTGTCCGATGCTATTATTTTTTATAGTATTTTTTCAGGATGACGAAGAGACCAGGTGAAGTATTTGATGAAGATCATCCGTACGTTTAGCGTGCTGAGACTGAGTACTTTTAACAGACAAATTTCGATGAAGAAGGTACTAACGACGAAGGACGCGACCCACGGATGGAAAAAGCTTGGTCGAGGTGGACAAGGAGAAGTATGGCTACTCACCGACACCGATCCGTAATTGACTTTCTATTTCTAACGATTTACATTAATAGGCAAATGGTGATGAAGAAGGCATTTCATACCAACGATTATGCCAGCTATTTTAGAGAGCTAAGAACGTTAAAAGTGCTTTTAATTGAAACATAATAGTATAACTATTGTTAGGAACTTTCTCATGAGAATGTCGTCAGATATTACGATTCGCCAGAGGATTATCCTGGCATTGATGTTAACGAGTGGCTGATTTTCATGGAATATTGTGAACACGGTTCCCTAAAAGATGGTACTTTGATTTTACTTTGCAACATCAATCTTGCAGTTTTGATAAACCAAGAAATCGAGTATTCAATGGCCACCATCGCCAAATGGTCTATGGAAATGTTCAGCGCGTTGGAATATATACAAAGTATGAAAAAGGTCCATCATGATGTCAAACCGGATAAGTGAGATCTACTTATAGAACCTTGTATCTGTGCAAATAGTTTATTCATTCGTGGTCAGGATTATATTCTAAAATTGGGTGATTTCGGAATTGTCCGAGATCTGAACACAAGTTCCAACCTGCGCGGAGGTACGCACGGATACATGGCACCCGAAGTATGGGACGGTAGACAGCTGAGTGGCCAGGTTTGGACAAAACATTCCACAGTGTGTCCCAGCTCTTCATCGAATTTCGATTTGAAAATTTGCACACAGATAGAGCTCGACGAGACGGATCGATTGGTATAACCTTTAGTTGCAGATATAGTAACACCATCGTTTTAAAAGCGTCTAAATTTTTGATCGGAAGTTTAGTCTACCTTCATATTACACATGTAATATGAAGGTAGGCCAAAATACTCTGTTCGTAACCGCTTTAGGAAGCGTATAAATGTGATATTTATGGGGCTGGGTGGGTTGTATTGGATATAGTGAATAGAAGGTAACCCTTGAGAGTATCGACATATCATTCCATTGTAGTAATCCAGGAAATAAAGAAATTGACGATATACTCAAGGATGGATTGCAGCATTTGAAGACCATTAAAAGGCTTGTGATAGGGTGAGTAAACAATCGCCAACACCTCACATATTTGCAGTTGCACGAAGAAGCCTGTGCCTGAACGGTTTGGGGTGGACCAGGGGCTGCAATTATGCCAGGCAATAGCGAAGGTAGCCTTCAATGTAATATTATTATGTCTTCTTGTAGGAGTTTGAAAAGTTGCAATCCAAGCCAGATCATAATAACTATCGCAAACGGCTCGAACCACCGATTGGATTATATGGAGAAGGGGACGAGACTCTTCGACAGCCCGAACCATTGTCGGCCCCGCGAATACCGCCGTCAATATGGGGATCCACATCTAGTGCTGTGCATGATCAGGGAGCAGAACGGTTCCACCCAAAAGTTGATTGGCGTGACAGATTACTAATGACTCTGGAAGAAAAGCTCGGGTTTATCACGGCTTTTGACGGGCATAGTTTTCAAAACGCACAATGGGATTGCAAGAGAGAAGACTCTTTCGTTCCGCCGAAATTGAATCGTGGAAATTGCGTTCATGCAGACTGGAAGAAAAGTAGAAAGCAAATGTGTGACGAAATACTCGAGAAGTTGGCCAATCTGTCACTTGAGGATCAATACAAATGTGCCGTAGAGATGGAGAGATTGTGGAAAACAAAAGCACCGCAAATAATCGTCAGAAGTGTTGTTGGCTCTTTAATAGAAACATCATGGCAACCCGATGGAATTTCGTTCCGGGATGCGAAAAACTTGAAAGAGTCCATAGTAAATATCCTGGACACATTTATGTGGCTGATCGGAAGGGACACTCGGCAGCAGGACGCTTCTCAGGAGTTTGGAGTTACAGTGCTTCTTGAAACTGATGGCGGAACACTTCCTCATTGGGATATCTTGCAACTATTAGATAAAGCCATTCAGCACATCGAAGAGCTCGGGAAGTTGTTTACTGTGAGAGCCGCATATCCTATTGTGCACATTGAGGGTTCACGACATTCCTGGTTCCTGATGGAAAAGTTAAGAGTTTTCCTCCGGAAGGACTGCACTGAAACTCGCCCCTACGGACTCCTTAGACCCGGTTCAAAGGAAATAAATTACCAAGAGATTAACGAGAAGGAACCACTGAATAATGAACAACTTCGTCGAGCCTTAATCGAGGCTCGCACTTCGTTCAAACGGAAACTCCGTAAGCAACCTCATTCAAATAGGATGTATGCAAAAGTCGATGACCTTGTAATAAACATTCTGGATTACCCTTTGATGAAAAATTCGAAGTTGTTGGATAGCAGAGCCCTTTTGAATGAACTGAAATCAATTCCGGGTGGGCCATTTCCAGGATATGTCTTCCTCCAAAATTTTCCTCCAAAACATGATTGCCATGAAGAGCAATGCGGCATCGCGGGTGGATATCCAGAAACCGCAGAAATTGAATTCCAAATCCCCTATCACAACTGTTCGACAAAACATCATATTGAATATATCGAAGAATATAACTTAATGACTAGAGGCCTACAACACATTGCGCGGCGAGAATATTGCGATGTCCGTTTACACGGGTTGCTGGAGGAATTGATCATTGAAATCGAGAGCCGTGAACGACACTCGGTCTTCTATTTCGCCATGGTAGAGCAGGTCGCCGGTTCCCTTGCGTTGCTTTTCCGATATCATCCAGATTCGTACAGCGGAACCTTTTTCACGAACAATATGGAACTCGTCTATTCGTCGAGACAAGGAAAGTTTCTGCGATTTGTCCCTATGACATTGGCCGATATTAAACCGATGCTCAATGCCATACAGGATCATCGCAACCCGGACAGAAAGAGTGATGTCCCATTCACTTTCTTATCGAAATGCTTTAGATGAGATAGATCTCAAGGTGGTGAAGCCATTGATCAACAGATTTTGGAAAGATATCATGTCAGTTTGACCCCATGATGTCTAATATTGTTCCTTTAGGCGGGTTGGATTGGGTCAAACAGTTGGCCAACCAAACTCGGTAGTCGAAGTCCATGCTGATGCAATGGAACACAAACCAATCGGAGGAGCACTCAGGAAACGATTCCGGTGAACCCCCGCAAACTCGAAACTCATCAAACAAGTTTGATCCATTCTCTATCTCCTTTACTTTCGTCCCAAACCCTGATTCCTTTGGCTCATGTAGTCTATGACGTATCGTGTTTGTGTTCTACGAATAAACCTTATTCCAGCAGGTTGTTCTGGCCGTTCAGCATCGGCACGAATACTCTCGTCGAAAGACTGTTAAAAGCAAACCCCTCAAGGAAAAGAGGATGTGATCTTAAAAAGGGATGTTATGGTGTCTTCATCAAAAAGAGGAGAATTCACATAAAACCCTCGCCGGAAAGGCGGCCAGTACGTGCAGGGGCGTAGCCAGAAAAAAATTTCGGGGGAGGGCCACAAATTTTTTTCCAAACAACTCAAAACATTGCCGAAAAAACAGCGTCGCAGGCAAAAATATTTGAAAAAAGGTTACATAGCTCTACAAATAGCCGTAAAAACGTGAAAAAATAGCGCCGCAGGCAGCAAAATTTTTAGAAAATAAAAATCATAAGGGTCCCCCCTTATGAAATTTTCGGGGCCCGGCCGATTTCGGGGGAGGGGAGGGCCTGTATTACGCTACGCCCCTGAGTACGTGAAAAAAAACGCGGTCCCCCCGATTCCCTATCACCTGTTCGAAATCATCTGTTCGAAAATCACCTGTTCGAAAATCATCTGTTCGAAAAATCGTCTATTCGAAAAACGTCCGTTCGAAAAGTCATCTGTTCGAAAAGACACTTGTTCGAAAAGTCGCCTGTTCGAAAACCATGTGTGGAAAATGGCGATTGTTGGTACCATTTCTAGGCAATTCCACATGCAAATTTTTCGAACAGATGATTTTTCGAACCGATGATTTTCGAACAGATGATCGGCCACCGTCCCCCCTGTACTCGTTAACCATAAAAAATGAATGTGGCGGCGCGATTTAAGGGACCTTCGTGCTTATAGAATTCTCTGATTCTCTTCCACTCTCACATGTAGAGGTTGTGAGGTCACAGAGTCCAAATCGGAAAATACGGGGAACACGATGCTATAAAAATTATCTGCCAATGGGCACTTTTGTTTAATAAACTTTTAATTAAACAAAATTTAATAAATTTAAACACAGGGTAATGATTTTATGGTTTTTGGGTGACAGCAGAAGTATTGGTATTGTAATAGATAGCTGGTTGATGTCTGTAGTCGTTGAGTCTTCTTGTTCTTCTGATTTCTCTTTCATTCATTATAGCTGATATCATTCCAAATAGAGAGAGAAGACATAGATGGATCGGAAGGAGCAGACGGCGGACGGCCGACGATGCCTGAAATACAAAATATTGCTGTAAACTGGAACAAGACTTCTAACGTAATTTTTAGTTTTTGGACGAAAAGATCGACTAATTGTCAGAACCTTTCAGGTAACAGTGCTTACTGTAAAGTGTTTTTACTCAAGTTGGAGTTTCGATTCGGGACCAAGTGCATCTTGTGCAGAATTTTTTCGCTGATTCCGAATCCGCTTTCCAAATTTGCTGCGGACTTTTATTTTGAAAGTTATACAGCAGTTATGGTAGTGTTTTTCACCAAAATCAAGGAACCGTTATGGTTTTGGATTTTCCTGATCAATTTCAACTTCAAAATTGGCTAGGGATTGGCTAGACAAATATCTTAAAAGTCAAAACTGGCTTTTTGTTAAAAAATTAAATTTTTGTTTGCAAAAAGCAAAAGAAAGGTGCAGGGCGGAGATCTGAACCGCCGCCCTGCGCTTGGCAAGCGAGAACTTTGCCAATGCACCATGGTGCCAACCGGGAGGGGAGCTGTGACATAGTACTTCAGGGCCCTGGGCAGAGGCAGAACCATGGAGGGAATAGTGGACCAGGATCCGAATTTTTGGCTTTTTCAAGCTTAATTTCCACCAAAAATGACTTTTTAAATAAAAGACCGCAGCAAATTTGGAAAACGGGTTCGGAATCAGCAAAAAATTCTGCACAAGATGCACTTGGTCCCGAATCGAAACTCCAACTTGAGTAAAAACACTTTACAGTTAGAACAACTTCTAGTCAGGATTTGCGCTTTTCAAATATTTAGCTGTCATAAAAACTTCAAAATCCATACCCCATAATATCGGTCCTCCAATATATCAACCAGATGCACGAGTAGGGCACAAAATAACATCGGGATGTGGGCTGTCTGCAATTGAAAATGTTGAAAATATCGATTGGCAGCTAAAAAAATTCAGCCAACCTGAAAAACGATGAAAATGATGAGTAGGGGGCGATTTGTGAATAGTATCCCTGTTGCCAAAATGAGACCCGAAATTGCAGAACATAACAATACTAGCCACGAGAGGAAGATCGAAATTCTGAAATGAGGGTGTCATTGGCCAACTGAATGCCAGAAAGTTCCTTGACGGTCCGATTTGTGTATTTTAATAGAGCTACGCGCGTTAGCGTTAAAAACGGCTAATAATCAGCTATCTGAATCTATTTTCTGGCCTAAAATCTCTATAAGAAAGTTATTGGATTACGCTATGAAATTCCGAACCCTCTGATTCGACCAACCACGCAATGAAATTCGATTAAGATAAGCTAACCTAAGACTAAGATTAAGCTTTTTGATTACGATATCAAATTCTAGGCGCTCGGCTTCACTCGATTACGCAATGAAATTGTCAAAAACTGTACAATGTGCCACGCGGAAGTCGAACCCGCCCCAAATTGTACGACATTTCGACAGTCAAATGATAGAGAAGAACAGAATATGTGATGAATAGAAGAGAAGAGGTGATTAGACCACAGATACGCTGACAGTGCATTTGTATTAAGTAGATTTTGTATAGAAATGTTGAAATAGAGGTTGGAGGAATCGAGTGGGAAATGGATGGGCGCGGAATGGCTGAAAATAGACTGTTGTTTATATTGGGGATTGAGAGGGGCCGAGTTGGAATTTGATACTTTTAGTTCACGAAAATCGGGGTGTTCATCAACAAGTCTATCGAAAATTAAAGAAAAAAACAAGTTTTGCAAGGTTGCCCGAATTTTTTTGCCGTGGCCGGTGGACAGAGATACACCACTTCCGGAACAGGGGGGCAACAGGGGCAAATCCGTCAAATTAAAAAATCAAAAGCAAATCCTATTAATACACAAAAATGCCTCCAAAATAATGGGAGATCATCAAAACTTACTAAAGCTTTATTTGTTAATATTACCAGTCAGCGTACCTTTTCTCTCTCCCTTACCCTCCCTGCCAGACTCCGCCCCCTTCCGCCTTACCCCCAGCCCTTACCCGCTTACCCCCCGCAGGCCATATTCCGGTCCCAACCACCTTACTGCCCAAACCAAAAGCTATTTTATTCATTTTCTTATTGAAACCTGTATTCTGGCTGCCAGTTAACCCTACAGTACCGCTAAAAATTCATTAATGGGTTACCCAAATATTTACGCCCGATTTCTGATCATCTGTCTGTCTAATCGCCTGATGCCACCCAGATAGTCCAAACCAACAATGAAAACCCGGAAGAACTTACTTTTATCGTTTTTATTTTGTGTATATTCTACCGTATTCTCTTCTCGTCATTGCCCCCATCTAAATCGTAAACACCTAAATGCCACATTCCATTCCGCTCCGATCCTATTGACGGCTACTGTACATGAGATATCCATCGATACGGCCACGTTGAGGGTTGAGGTATGTTTTGAAGATATTTGAGAGCGAGATAGCGATACTTTTTAGTGATTTAACCGTTATTGTCAGGGGAAATGGCAAATTTCATTTTAATAGATTTTTAAAAGTTTGGGTTTAATTTTTTTAAATTAAAATAAAAAAATGTTCTGTTCTAGGCGAGTTCCTCAATTTGTAGGGTATTTTTCAAGCAGCCATATTCAGGAAGCCGTAATCGACATCCACCGGGTATTCAAGGGCCAAAAACTGGTAGCTGAACGCAACCGGATCCGGTTGAAAGTGACGGAGGAGGTCCGGAAAACGGTAAAATAACTGGATTTACGGTCAGACTACAAAGTAAAAACTTTAGAAATGTCGCTCGGGGTGGTTCCAGGGAGATACGAAAGTTTTTGCCCCTACAGTATGAACAGGTAGATTTTAATTTTTATGCTTTCTGGCTCACATACGTTTCAAAATTGATACTTTTAGGGTACCTTCTACCTTTCAAAAGTCCCTCTTCCGGTCAGTTTGTCGATACTCGATGTGTTGCATTCAATTTCTACACGTAGGTTAAACTTGTGGCTATTTCTCGCCTTCCTTGGTCTGGCTGTATCTCTCACTCTCATCTCTCTCTCTCCCTCGCTCTCTCTCCTCGCTCTCTCTCCCTCGCTCTCTCTCCTCTAACTGACCTCCAATATGCAAATTTTGATAGATATGCTGTGGCCATATAGCTGTAAACCACGGATTAAGACCCTTTTGGTCTATCGGCCCTCGAAATTGCGCAACATCCGGTTGACCTGATTGACCTTGTTTTTTATTTGTCTTGCATAGATCCTGTTTCAAATTTCTTACATAGCCATTGAACATTGGCTAAAACAAATAGTTCATTACGATAGCATAATCACACAATTTTTAAAAAATCGCAATAATCAACTTTTTTAGGCTGTCATTTTTAAATTTTTTAGTGTATAGAATTACTTCTTTTTATAATTTTTACGCCATCTGGCTGGCAATTGACTCTTCTGAAATATTGGTGTGTAGTGTTAAGAGCTAATGGTCCAATTACACCCTCCCGTTCTGGGTGTCTGCCCATATTTGGTGGGTCCTTAGAATAGGCCCTTCCCTTCCCTCACGTGCCTCTCCCTTGTCGGTCCATTGTATTCCCCCGTACACTACTCTCCTGTAATTAGCTACCCTCTCTCTCTCTCTCTCTCTCTCTCTCTCTCTCTCTCTCTCTCTCTCTCTCTCTGTCTTCTCTCTCTCTCTCTCTCTCTCTCTCTCTCTCTCTCTCTCTCTCTCTCTCTCTCTCTCTCTCTCTCTCTCTCTCTCTCTCTCTCTGTCTCTCTCTCTCTCCTCTCTCTCTCTCTCTCTCTC